GTCCAAGGTTTTTCTGTTCCTCGACCAGAAGATGGAGGGCTACAAGTTTAGGTTTGGTAAATGGCCACTGCTCCACCCAGATAGGGCTTCCTGGGTTCCACCTAATGGGAGGTACTGGGGGTGGGGGAGTGGCCTTTAGGATTAGGGTGTACCCGAGTGGGTCCCCTATGTTCTTCTCTGTAATTATGAAAGTTAAAAAAATCCTTTTCCTTAATTCCCTCTAGATCCTTTTTTAGCTTTTGTGCTTCTTCCCCATCCAGGATATCATCATAGGATGCTCGATGGTCTGTAGTGACCATGGCATCCATTTGTCTTAGCATATTTTGCCCTAGTAAATTGGCAGTGAGGTTCTTCGTCATTAAAGGGCGTATCTTTCCCTGCTATCCATCTGGGCTAGTCCATTTCATAAGGGTGACCATCTCTTTGGACTGGGAGTTGCCCCCTACCCCCAATATCAGGGGCCAGGTGCAAGCTTCCAGTCCAAGGGCAATTCCTCCTCCCTGAGTACGGTTAGATCTGCTCCCGTGTCAATTAAACAGTAAAACTGCTTCCCACCTATGTTATGTGAATACTCATTATAGGGCAGAGTCCCTCCACGAGGAGGATAGTCCGATGGGCCTGGGTCATCCTGCCATGAGGCTGCCTGGGCTTCCCAGCAGAGGGGATTCCTCCTTGAGTTAATGGGGCTGGAGAACGCCCCTACCCTAATTTAAAGGCTTTCCATCTAAATCAAACTTGGATCGACAATCCTTTTTCCAAGGGTATCCCTTCCTGCACCTGGGGCAGAGTGTAAGGGGCAGTTTGCCACCTCCCCTCTCCTGGGCCAGTTGGTAAGGGATTGCCCCTCCTGCCCGCATTTAAAACAAGTCCCTCTCCCCAATTGTATTGGGGTTCCTTGGCCCTGGGCTGCAGGTGATGGGTAATAGCCTCAGTCATTTCCAGTGTCTGAGCCTGTAAGACTAAAGCTAGTGATTGGGACTGTTGCTGTTGCGTTCCCACATTCTGTGAGGCCACCATCCATCTGCTCAGGGAACTCTCTCTCAATCCCGCACAGGCCATGTGGTGGTCTGCATTCATCCCTTCCCAGACCAGCAGCTATACAAACTGATCTCGGAGGTTTCCTGCCGGCAGTTTGCAGTTAATACTCTGTTGGACTAGGTCTACAAACTCAGCTAGAGACTCACCAGATTTTTGTGTCACTCCTGCTCTGGGGGACTCAGTAGGCCCATCATCCAGTTTGTACCATGCGGCAAGTCCTGCCTGCCTCACCTGGTCACAGTACGGACCAGGTATAGCGGCCTGTTGGACACCAGTGGAGTGCCCTTCCCACATCTCAGTTAACATGGCATAAGTAATAGGTATCTCACGTTGACCCTGCCAGTTATTCTCCACCTACACTCTGCATTCCTCCTCGAAGAAAGCACACTATTTAATAAACTGAGAACTGGTGAGGATGGCTTTGGCCACATCCAGCCAGTCCTTAGGGACACACGGGTGATAAGCAATGTCCTGTAATAGGGTCTGGGCCCAAGGAGAATTCGAGCCATCCTCCACCACTGCCTTGTGGCGCTCTTTAAGGTCCTTAGCTTCCCATGGATACCATTCCAAGGGCCTGTTAGCTCTGGTGCCAGATTGACAGGATACGCTTGGGGAAGCAAAGCCTATGTCCTAGGGTCTGGGCTCCCAGATGGCCCTTCCTTTCCAGAGTAGGCCTCCAAGTAGGTTACTTCCCCAACCCTCGGCCCCTCCGTGGAAGGTTGGTAGGGTTCCAGGTCTTGCAGGTCCCTCTAGCAGGTTGCGTAGGGTGACGTACCTCCCCTCCAGTCAGGGGAATAGGGAGGGGGCTTATGACTGTCAGGGGCACCTGAGTCAGAGGGAGTAACTTTCACTCTTGTTTTGACTTCCACTGTGCAGGTTTCAGTACATTCTCAGTCGAATTTAACCCATTCCTTTTCCTTCCCACTTCCTAAGTCCTCCTTTACTCCCTAAGGCCTAATGTTGCCTCCTCCTCCTTCTTCTGTGAGATAGCATTACCCATACTAAGGGTTTCATTTACCCTGAGAGACTGCTTAGCCTTGGTCGGCATCTTTTCCTTTCATGCCCCAAGTTGAGTGCCAGATGTCAAGTCTTTGTCTGTTCCTCAAAGACGGACAGGGTCCAAGGAAAGGTAAGCATGGCAGCTTGCCCTTTCCTCAGCCTCCCTTTGACTGGGAGACAATCAGACACAGTGGAGAGTCAAGTCAAGCAGGAAAACTCATTTATTAACACACAACAAGCCCTTGTTAAAGCAAAAAAGAGCGGGTGGCATGACAGGGGAGAAAAGGAACCAATCACTGTCAAGTTCACACCCTATCATACACCTAAGCTTCCACGGTCTGGCAAATAGGGTAAAGCAAATCAGGCTCTCTCAGCGCCATCTTTGCTGCCCTTCTGCTCTACACACAGCCGTGCTGTGGGCAACACTATGGGTGAACGGGAACCTGAGACTGTACAGGTGGGATTGGACTGTACAGGTGGATCTGGGTGCTCAGTTTCTGGTTCATTAACTCCTTCTGGAATGCAGGCCATAGAACCTGAGCTTTGTTTCAGAGGAGAGCCATGGTAATTTCTGCACCCAGCTTTTCCATCTCAGATCCATCACAGCAGAATCCTGACCAGTGTCTGACAGTACATCCCTTTACCAGTTTGGGGAAGGGTCCAGCCCCACGTGCAAACAGGAGGACCACAGAGTGCAGGCCGAGGCTCTGCTAGGCCCCCAGCCTGGCCCTGTCAGCACCCTGTCACACCCTTTCTGCTTGATCACACTTTGACACAGTCTTCCCCATCCAATGAAGTCTGTATTTAAATAAAAAAAGAGAGAGGGTTTGGAGAGCTTCCTGAGAGCTGAAAATGTGAGTGTTCATGGAGCATGGGGGGTGTAGACAAGGCACTCAGCTCCCATGGGCCTTGCCATAAAAATGTTTTCAGTGGCATCCTTTATGGTGAACCTGTGAGGATTTGTCCTCGGTCCTGATTCCTTTGAGTTGATCAGCCCCATGTCGGGGCAGAGTCAGAAACACAGGCAAGCAACCTGGTCCTTCACATCCACAGCAGGGGAAGTTAGGGTGAGAAATGAACCGAATTAGAGGGGCCGGGCTGTGTCTGCTGTTCCATGAGGAAATGCTAGGGGTAGGAGGTATGACTCAGGTGGTAGAGCACCTGCCAATGAGCAAAAGAGTCAGATACTTACTTCAAGTCCTAGTCTCAGCTTTAAAAAAAAAGGAAATGCTTGATTGCTACTGGGGAGAAATGCTCTAATTTTCAGGACCACAGTTTTTCTGTTGATTGTGGTGAAAATGTGGAGAAAAGTCAAGGAATTTGTTTTTCTTTACACATGGCCTGTAAGCTATTTCCCAGTCCCAAGCCAGTGCTGGTGAACAGGAAAGTAGTGTCTGTGGGTGAGTGTTTCAACATCCCATGATGAGTTCACTCTGAATTAAGGGTGGGTCCTAGAGCCAACCACAGTGTCCTCCTAAGCACCCCAGCTGTAGAAGACTCAGTAAACAGAGGGCACAGTCTAGGAAGAGAGGCAGGGGTTGGCTGAGGATATATCCATAAGCCCAAGAAAGTCAAGAACCATAACTGGGCCTGAAGTGAGGAGAGGAGTGCAGAGCCGATTCCCATAGAAGCTGCAAATGTAAGCCACTGGGTGAGGCTATTTGTCCCAAGAGCCCCAGAGAACAGGTGCATCAAATTCTCGTAGTGTGTGCAGAAACCAGGCTGGGAGGAAGAGACACCAGCCTAGGCCAGCCTGGGAGGACAGTGTCCTAACCTCAAGGCTCCGATTGTGACCACAGCAGCAGAATGCAAACCCTCCCCTGTATGCATCTCCTGCCTTGCTCCAGTGCACGGAGCACAATGACGTCATGTGTGCTCAGTGCAGTGACATCACTGAGAACAGCTAACCCTGGTAGCACAGAAGGCCTCTTCCCCAGGGCATGGCAGACCAGCAAGCTGCATTGAGGTGAAGAATGGTCCTATGCCACAGGAAGGCGAGAGCTTCCCTGCAGATGATCCTCTCATCAAGGCATTTAAGCATCTCTTTGGGATCACAATGGAACTGATGAAAAGTTAGGTAAAAAATGCAGCTGGGCTTAGTGATGTGCACCTGAAATGCTAGCAATGAGGAGGCTGAGGCAAGAGGATACTAGGTTCAAGGCTAGACTGGACTACACAGTGGAGACCCTGTCTTCAAAAGCAAAAGAGGGTCTGGGAAGGTGGCTCAGTGATAGACTGCTTGCCTTGCATGCAGGAGGCCGTGTGTTGGATTTCTCAGCACCACATAAGCAGCAAAGGCTGGAAGTGGCAATGTGGATCAAATGGTAGAACACCAGCCTTGAACTGAAGAGCTGAGGGACAGTGCCCAGGCTGAGTTCAAGCCCCATGACCAACCAAAAGAAAAAGAATAGAAAATAAGGGGCTGGGATGGTAGCTCAGTGGTAGACTGATTGCTTTGCATGCATGAGGATCAGGGTTCAATTCTTCAGCATCATCTAAGCAGAAAAAGCCAGAAGTGTTGCTGTGGCTCAAGTGGTAGAGTGTTAGCCTTGAGCTGAAGGGCTGAAAACATCGCCCAGGCCCAGAGTTCAGGCCCTACAACCGACTGAAAAAAAAGACAATAGAAAATGAAATATTTTGGCAAATTCTCAAGAATATGTAGGTCCTTGAACACCATATCCATTGCAGCACTTTTTACCACAGCCAAGAAACAACCCAGGAGCTCCATGGTGTTTGCAGAGAAATGAGTGACACTGGACATGGTCGTGTGGAGCAAAGTCAGCCAGGTTCAGAGCAGTGGAGTCAAAGGCCCAACTGTGGATGAATGCATAAAGAAGATGTAGCCTGGTCAGTCAGTGCTGGTGTCTCCGGCCGGAGGCGCGATCTTGGGATCCCGCCAATCCGGTGCCTCTGACGACCCTTCATCAGGATTTTTCTGTCCAAGGCACAGTTCAGTGCCCAGAATGATGAACGCTGACATGGATGTTGATGCTGAAAATCAGATGGAACTGGAGGAAAAAATACAACTTATTAATCAAGTGCTGGAACTCCAACACACACTTGAAGATCTCTCAGTAAGAGTAGATGCAGTTAAGGAAGAAAACCTGAAACTAAAATCAGAAAACCAAATTTTTGGACAATATATAGAAAATCTTATGTCTGCTTCTACTGTTTTCCAAACAACTGACATAAAAAGCAAAAGAAAGTAAGGGATTGAGTTCCCTTCTCATTTACGGAATAGCTGCTTCTCTCTCCCTCTCCCTCTCTCTCCCTTTCTTTCTCTCTGTCCCTTCCCCTTCCCTCCCTCTCTCCCCTCTTTAAAAGTTTGGTACATTCCAAATGTTACAGTACCTTTGTTTGTGGATTCATTGAATGTTTATTAAAATAATTTCAAATCTAGGCAAAATTAACTACTTAACAAGAGACTTCCATGAGTCTGTATATTATGTTAGTCTAAAAAAATGTGCAGATATATTGTAGGGACTATATAATTAGAATTGCATATATTTATGAAATTTGAACATGAATGTTTTATTGAATTTGCTTTGATATATAGGCTTGATCTTTTACAACACACTTACTTAGTAAGATATACAAGACAACAACCATGTTGTGAAAATGTGACCAAAATCATGTACTGAATGCACAGCTTTATGTATGTACCTGTTCACCATTGTGTGCCTCTCCTCCATCTGCCTCATCCTCCCCATTTACCTTCTTCTAAGTCAAGATAGTTTCACATTTGTAAAAGTACTTTGAGTAGTAATCACCTGACAGTAACCTAATCTGTAAGTCCTGAAGTTAACCAAAACCTTGCCTAAAGTTTGTCAGTTGTACTTTCTAATAATAAGATAAGACTGATGGTTTCTCTTTAACCATTTGAAATCAGATTAGGGCTAAAAAGAGGATTTTTAAGTTGATACTAAATTATCAAATTGAAATCTGTTTAAAACAAAGAAGCAACTTGCTTTTGTACCAAATCACCCACTTGCTATCTGAAAAGATAAGAATTTTGGTTATGGGCTGCGAAGGTAGCTCAGTGGTAGAGTGCTTGCCTTGCATGTATGAGGCCCTGGTTCGATTCCTCAGCACCACATAAGAAAAAAAATACCGGAAGTGGCGCTATGGCTCAAGTTGTAGAGGGCTAGCCTTGAGCTGAAGAGCTGAGGGACAGGCCCAGGCCTAGAGTTCAGGCTCCATGACCAGACCCCGCTCCCCCCCAAAAAATTTTTGGTTATATATCTATTAGAAGTAGAAAGTCTGGGAGGAGTACTTAGAAATAGGTAAAAAAAATAATGTGATAAAAGTAGCTACCAATTCCAAATGTTTTCACTCCAGATTTGTATTGTCTCTGGCACAGAACAGATCTTCCAGGGAATATATATCTAAATATATGAAAAGTAGTTAAGTTTGACTGATCTTACATATGCCACATGCTATGCTATTCCAGCTCTAGGGTGTGGTTGCAAGGTTTATTTGTTGTTCCTAGTCAATTAACTGTTACCAAATTCCTTGAAGAGTGTACTGGTATTAGAATCATGAATGAGAGAATTTTATATGTATAATAATTGGTAAGCTCAGTATTTTTATCTCACTCTGTAAATTCAACTAATAGGTTGTTAGAATTTTAGTCATTCTCATAACAATTTCTAAAAATTTAGTTCATAGGTTTCATTTGATAAAGGAATCAATATCTCCCCTGTCTTTGTTTGAAGAAGCGAACCCACCTGTCTTAGGGTGGGTGGATCACCTTGTCTGCCTTACCTATCATCGGAATCTTCTTCTGAATGGAGCTGAAGGTCCTGTCTTAGGTTGGTCAGACTGGTACCCCCTGTTACCCGTCTCTGGCAGCACTTCCTCTCGGGGGGAGGAGGGAGGATTCATTTATATGGAGCTTGATCTTATGTAGCTGGCTGGTTAAACTCAAAAGAGAGTTTGGAGTGCACGTATAATACAAGGAAGGCATAGAGAAACCATCAGTAAAAGCATTCCCAGGCCAAGGAATGACATTAGCAATCCTTTAACGTAAGTCAGGGAAGGGATATAGCATTGAAATTGTTTAAACAAGTTTTTTTTTTAGCAGTTTTTGCCACTTAAGTGTCCAGAGGTAGGGCTTATATAGTATTATGAGCAAGCTGATTAAGATAATGGGCTGTTTGTACATTTTGTGTCAGTGTCACAGCAGCTGCCACTGCGGAGGCAGTTAACGAAATAAAGGCCAAAACATCAGCTACAAGTAGCCCAACAAATCGACGAGGGCACGTTAGTTCTTTCAATTGTCTTAACACCTGAATGCCAGAATTTTTATATCAAGTTTTAGAAATATTTACAGGAAGCTTAACAAAAGATGGTTGCCTAACAATAAGTATGGATTTAGTTATGCCACTATACAAGCAATTAGTAAAAGAACAATTTGTACAGGTGACATTAAAATAATTAGCTCCTACAGAGATATTAAACGATCAATACATAATGACATCAGGTGGTGATACACAACTCATAATATATTTTAAAAGGGATGAATTGGGCTAGGTTATGTTGTTGAGTGCAGCCACCAGCATTCAAACATGATGTTGAGGATGCCCATTCATCCACCACAGTCCAACATTGTACCTATTAGTAAGATTAGCTCCAGACCAGTCCATTAATTGAGAGTTAGTTCCAGAAATATTGGTAACAAATGGCTGTACATGCCTGCATCTTATTGGATGAGGCTCTCCTGTAGATACTACTATTTGTGAAGAATTAATGCAACGGGGTATCATATAAGATGGAGAAGAATTTGCATGAACTTGGAGTTCAGTTGGGAAAGATGTCATCTGTCTATTGTACATTTGATTTTTGTCTGGAATCCAAATTTTATGAGTCATGGATAGCATTATAATACAGTCTGGAATGGAGCCTTTAGAGCTGGTGGTAAAGCAAAAAGGAATTCCAATGTCCAAAGCTGAGATATCTCCCATCTTGCTGTGCTGGATGAAGGGATGCGGGGCTGTATTGTATGCTGATCTATTGATGAGAATGAGTACTTCAACTCCCTCCCAAGTTGTAGGGTGCACAGTCGGGGGATCCGACAGGTAAACCCAATTTGTCTGTGTTTGTGTCATCTGTTGAGCCTCCACAATCCTAAAGCAATGCTCAGGCAACCAGCAGGATTTATTTTCTTCCTGCAAAAAAACACAAACATGTCCTCGACCCCAAGTTAAAATGGATCAGGGCCCTTGCCAATCACCTGTTAAAGGATCCTTCCACTTAACTTGGGCAAAAGCTCTTTGCTCTCTTTTTTTTTTTCCAAAAACTGCTGTGCAGCGGAGAAGAGGCCACAGGCCGAGGTGCGGGAGGTGAACCAGTTGCCCCCTGCCAGCCGTTTCACCAGGGGCACGAAATGGGCTTCAAGGTCAGAGGGCGAGTGCTCATAGGAGATGGCCCTCAAGGACTTCACTGCCTTGTCCCGCACCACTGTCTCCTCCACTGTGGCCAGCGACTCCAGTGGGGGCTGTAGGGGCAAGGGAGGGGCGGGTGGCACTGATGCTCTGCTCAGCCCTCCAGCCCTGAGGCCATCCCCCTGGACAGCACCCAACCCCCTTTTAAACCCTGCACCATGGCTCCTGTCTCTGCTCCGGGGATGGGAGCGAGGACCCCGCATATCACTTACCAGCAGGCAGTGCACCTACTCTGGGCTCCCCACCAGGGCGGTAAAGGTTCCCAGCTGTTCAGCCAGGGCCAGAAGGACCTCATCCTCAGCGTAGATGCTGTCTGTAGGGCCAGGGCATTCTCATCACAGCCCACCCTGGGACCACGGCACACTGGGATCCCGGTCCCAAGATGCTCAAGCTTGCTGTCAGTACCCACAGTTTTCCCATATGGCTAGCACAGAGAACAAGATACAAACTGCGGGTGGATGGGGGAGCACTGAGTGACAGGGCCACTCTACACCCCTCAGGGAGGGGAGACTGAGTCCCATCTGGCAAGCAGATTTCCTGTTCAGGTACAGCTTACACTCTCAGCACTGTTCTCTGCGAAAAATCCTTTTCTATCTGTTCAGACTAGGTTCAGCTATTGCCTCCTGGAGACTTTGCAGGCTGTCCCTCCCCCAGACTGCCCCGACCACCGTCCTCTGTGCCTGGCTTCCACCTGAAGACAGTGCCAAGCCCAGCCAGAGTCTCAGGCCTCAGGGCTGGGCAGGGCAGGCCAGGGCAAAGGTGATCTCTGGGATTCTTCCATTCTGAACAAGGACTTACCAATGGAAGTGCAGCACCCAGGCTCAGAGCACCACCTCCAGAAAAGCAACACTACACTGCTATACTTTAAGATGCCAGCCTGGCATTTTGCTCTACCCCATGATCATGCTGCAGTAATTGCTTACAAAACCAATCCTGCATGTTCTGCTGGCGTAAGGCTGAGGCTTCTGCTTTTCTGTCTGGACAGCACCACCTTTTCCCAAAGGACATGGCACCTGCCACATGCAACTGGAGAGGCTCCCAGGCAGCAAGTCCAAAGAAGGGACCTAAAGTCTCTTGGGGCTCTGAGCCCTACATGTCTGGATACCCGGCAGCTCTTGGTTTGAAGCTCCCACATTCCCCCCATCACAAGCCCCAGTTCTTTCCAACCAGGCAGGCAGAACATTGTCTGATGAGACTGTCCTCCCAGCCGACACTTAGGTGTTAAACAGACTGAATGCTCTCCATATCTCTAGTACGAGTCACATGACTGTGTCCACCTGGCAGAGCCCAAGGTAGTTCTCAGGCTGGGAGTCTCACTCTGGGTCTCTGGCTGCCTTCCAGCAGACTTCCGAGAGGACATCCTGCCTTCATCTTCCTCTTCCTCAGCCTTCCCCTCAACACAGTCCTGCAGTACATAAAGCTTGTCTACCTGAACCTCAGCCTCTGTACCCCATCATCCAGGTCCCCTGCCATGGGCTTCTCTTATTAAGCAGAAGCCATCTCCAGGCATCCCCACTGCACTGGGCCCCAAGAGTCCCCACCTGTAAGGAATGGGAGGAGTTCACTTCCCGTCCTTTCCACTCCAAGGGCCAAGGTGATGGTGGACAGCTTCTTGATGCTGTTGAGGTGAAGCTGAGGAGAGAACAAGGAGGGAGCTCAAGGGAGCTCCACAGTGCTGGGAGCAGATGGTCAGCACACTCACCATGCCCTCCTCTGACCTGGAGCACACAGTTCAATAGAAACAATGCACTTTCCGAGTTCAGGTAAGATCACACACACTGCCCACTACTGGCTACTACACCACATACTCCACTTTGTAGCAGCCGCTGCATAG